GTAGTCCATGTCGAGTTTCGCGTTCTCCTCCATCTGCTGCAGCAGCTCCTCGTGGAACCTCTGAAACTAACACACAACACGCAGCCTTATACACCTCCCCAACCACAACACGCAGCCTTATACACCTCCCCAACCACAACACGCAGCCTTGTACACCTCCCCAACCACAACACGCAGCCTTATACACCTCCCCAACCACAACACGCAGCCTTATACACCTCCCCAACCACAACACGCAGCCTTATACACCTCCCCAACCACAACACGCAGCCTTATACACCTCCCCAACCACAACACGCAGCCTTATACACCTCCCCAACCACAACACGCAGCCTTATACACCTCCCCAACCACAACACGCAGCCTTGTACACCTCCCCAACCACAACACGCAGCCTTATACACCTCCCCAACCACAACACGCAGCCTTATACACCTCCCCAACCACAACACGCAGCCTTATACACCTCCCCAACCACAACACGCAGCCTTATACACCTCCCCAACCACAACACGCAGCCTTATACACCTCCCCAACCACAACACGCAGCCTTATACACCTCCCCAACCACAACACGCAGCCTTGTACACCTCCCCAACCACAACACGCAGCCTTGTACACCTCCCCAACCACAACACGCAACATCCACTGGAGTCAGCAGGTCACCGCTAACCAGGGATGTAATGTGTGTGAACAGAGGCTGCAGTTGCTGTCGCTGGTAACTACAGTAAATACTCACAACAACTTCCAGGTCACTGTTCAGCAGCCTCTGAGTGTCTGTCATCTGCATCAGGACCTGACCTGCATCAGGGTGGGGGGGGAGGGTTTGGGGGGAGGGTTTGGGGGGATGGAGGGAGAGTAAAGGTGAGAGGATGGTCTGAGATCTGACTGACTGGTGATGTGAGCATCTCAGGGTTTAGACAGTGGGTTTCCAATGGCCTCAACTGATTTATTCATCTCTCCCCCCACCCCCGGGCGCCCCCAACACTCACAGCCAACACACCCACCCACTGCACCCCGCTCCCCCCACCCACCCCGCACAGACACGCACACACAAGACACACATCCAGACAAACACATACACACACACAAACACACACACACACGTGGTGTCAGCGAATAATGGCTGCAGGTGATAAGGTGTTTAACAAGCCGGTGATACATAAAGTCCATCTCTTATCGTTCCGTGTACCCTGAACACGCACACAACAGGGAAACAGCTGCTGGCAATTCATCACGGAACAAGGTTAAGATCACACGTTCTCCCTCCTGCGCTCACGCACACACACACACACACATGCAAACGCGCGTGTACAGACACACACAAACGCACACACACGCGCGCGCAGACACACAGAGTCTGCACGCGTGCGTCTGCACGCACACATGCACGCACGCACACACATGCCTCGTACACACACTGCACAGATGCACACTCACACACACGCCTACAAAGGTAAGACGGTCTTACCCAGTATCTGTGAGGTGGACGTGTGCAGAGCCATGTCCCCGAATCTCCCCACAGCGACAAAGTAGGAGTTGGCTGCCTTCATGAGAACTGAAAACAGGCGACCGAGAGGGAGAGAGAGAGAGAGAGAGTGTAAGAGAGACAGAGAGAGACAGAGCGAGTGTTTCAACCAGTCACGTTTTCCAGCCTGAGGTGGAGAGATGTTCATCAGGTCGGGGGATCGAGGGATTTGGGGCAATGGCGGGTAATTGGGGTTGAGGTACAGATCAGCCGTGGTCTAATAGAATGGGGGTTTGTACATCAGCTCTGAGCCCATCCCATTGATACTGCTGTCTGACAAGCGTTCCCGCTGTCTCCAGCCAGGATCACCCTACAGGTAAGGGCTTGGAGTCCTGTAGCTCAGTGTTTTAGAGCACTCGCCCTCCAAGCGCGAGACCTGGGTTCAATTCCAGCCAGAACGAAACCTTGGGCAAGTTTCCTTACTCCACACACACGCCTGATAATAATCCCTCAAGAAAAAAATAAAATAAATTGGTCATTTTCAATCCACGACTGTTTGTGGGACAGACGCTGCTGTGTGCAATTGGCTGCTGCGTTCGCCCACAAATATACAGTCAATAATAATAATAAATAATAATCCGCGCATTTGATACAGCGCTTTTCAAGTCTTCTCGACGTCTCAAAGCGCTTCACAGAACACACTGTAAAGTGAATTGACTGTATATTTGTGGGCGAACGCGGCAGCCGATTGCGCACAGCAATGTCCCACAAACAGCCGTGGATTGAAAATGACCAATTTATTATTGTTTTGGAGGGATTATTATTAGGGTCTGTGTGGAGTAAGGAAACTTGCCCGAGGTCTCGCCCTGACCTGCCTGGGATTGAACCTGGTGTCTCGCTTGCAAAGCGAGTGCTCTAACCACTGAGCTACAGGATTCCACTTTACTTTACAGTATGTCCTGTGAAGCGCTAGGAAGACATGAAAGAGCGCTGTATCAAATGCAAGGATCATTATTATTATTATTGGCAGAACAGACGCGAGGGGCTGAATGGCCTCCTCCTGTTCCTGCGACTCACCTCTGAATGCGTGGAAGAAGTTGTTTCCGAGAACCACCAGGTTCTGCATCCTCGGGTTAAACTGCTCCAGAATTTCCTGCAGACAAACACACAGTCACTACACTTTACAATATATGCTGTGAAGCGCTTTGAGATGTCTCGAAGATGTGATAAGGCGCCGAGTCAAATACAAAGGTAATTACTGTTATATAGTGATTGTGGGCAGACGCGGCAGCCAGTTTGCGCACAGTGACATTATGGATAGGGAATTTTATAACATAGAGCCCCCAGGGATTTCACAGCAGTAACTTCAAGACTCCCCAACAGTAAACAGCTTTCGATCATAATAATAACAATAATAATAATGCAAAAGGTAACGGTGATTTCATCAGCAGTCACTGCTGAGGCCCTTTTTACAGAATTTTAGGCAATTTGTACACAATATTATTTGATAATTAAAGGCACTGTAATGATCATTACTGATTAGGTTCCTGTTTTCATGTTATTTTAATCATTATTCCGCCCATAAAATACACAGTTGATCCACTTTACAGTATATCCTGTGAAGCGCCTTAGGACGTCCTCCCGACGTGAAAGGCGCAATACAAATCTTGTTGTTGTTGTGATAAGGCGCAGTATCAAATGCAAGGATTATTATTATATTATTGTTATTATTATCATCCTCCTAAGGTTTGAAACAAAGCCATGAAAGCATTGCTTCGTCTGTAGACATCTCGTGTAACTTTTCCGGATTTGAGATAAAAGTTCAGTCCTCAACAATCAGTGAAAATCCCTAAACAGAACTCCCGGGTCAAACGGCCATCATTCCCCCCAACTTGCAACCCGAGCCACCGGGCCACGCCAAGCCACAGGTTCACAGGGGTCAGTCTGCGAGGCACAAGGCAGCCCTGGGCGTTAGGAGTACGATCAGTGGATGGACAGACTTGACAGGCGAATAACAACACAACAAGAAGTAACATAGTGCATTTATAACTAACGCCAAACTCCACGGCCAGGGGACAGACTCCAGGCAACGGGTGGCTAACACTCAGAGACCACACACTATCTGCAAGACAACCATTAACACAGCTCCCCCTCACGCAGGGCAGAGCCCCAGAGTGCTGAGATAGGGGGGAGGTGACCGCAGGCACAGTCGAAGAGGAAGGTCTTCAGGCCCGACCTGCAGATGGATCCGATCGGACACACAAGGCGCCTTCAAACCCATCTGAACGCCTCCCTCCACAGTAGCTGTCCCTAACTGTCCGTTCCTCTCCCCCGCCCACAGCTCGTTTGTTGAACGAGTCCCACATCCCAGCCTCAGCCACCCTTCCTGGGACGGGACCAGGAAAGGGTTTGAACGAGCCAGGAATCCCGAGCAACACTGCACTCTGCTCTTTAATAACAATCCTGGGTGTTTGGCACCGACCCTTATCACGTCATCAAAGTGCTTCACGGGGTTTTTACTGTGACGTCTGGGCGAAGGTTTTGCCCACAAAACACACAGTCACTTCACTTTACAGTGTACCCTGTGAAGCGCTTTGAGACGTCTCGAAGTATCAAGTGCAAATGCAAGGATTATTAAGGCATCCATCCCTAAAGGTAAACAGGAAGAAGTTTAAACTTAATGCTGACTTCCTTCTTCTCACCTTGTGGGCAGCCTCAATAAAAACCCCACGGCTCAGCAATGTGAACCCGATTCCTCAGCAAATGTGCACTCTGTGTGCACGTGCGGAGGGGGCTTAGCCCCAAACTGCACTTTCCCCACACCCCTCGTCCCTCTCTCTCCCCCCGCCCCACCCCTCCGCCCCCCACCCCACCCCCCACAAACACACACACACACATGTGCTCTTCCCTAAATTCCCATTCCCAATCCAAAGTATCGATTCTTTCAAAACCAAATGCGATCGATTTATTTTACGATAAGATCGTGCCACAGGGATCAGTGTTTGGGCCTCAGCTATTTACAATTTACATCAATGATCCAGATGAGGACATTGAATGTAACGCATCTAAATTCGCGGATGACACTAAACTAAACTCGGTGGGAGAGTGAGCTCTGAGGATGGTGCAGAAGGATTGCACCGGGATATAGACAGGTGAGGGGAGTGGGCGAGTCGGTGGCAGATGGAATTTAATGTGGGGAAGTGTGAAGTTATTCACCTCGGCAGCAAAAATAGAAAAACAGATTATTTTCCAGAGGGGGAGAGATTAGACAGTGTTAGTGTTCAGAGGGATTTGGGTGTCCTTGTACACCAGTCTCAAAAAGTTAGTTTGCAGTGCAGCAGCAACTAAGGCGAACGGTATGTTAGCGTTCATTGCAAAAGGTTTAGAATATAAGAGTAGGGAAGTCTCGCTGCAACTGTATAGGGCTTTGGTGAGACCGCACCGAGAGTATTGTGTGCAGTTTTGGTCTCCTTATTTATATAAGGACACACTTGCCCTCGAGGGGGTGCAGCGTAGATTCACTCGGTTAGTTCCTGGGATGAGGGGACTGACCTATGAGGAGAGGCTGAATAAACTGGGGCTGTATTCTCTAGAGTACAGAAGAATTAGGGGGGATCTTATTGAAACATAAGATTCTTAAAGGGCGGATAAAGTAGACACTGAGGGTCTGTTTCCCCGGTGGGAGAATCTATAACCAGAGATCACAGTCTTAAAGTTAAGGGTCAGCCTTTTAGAACAGAGTTGAGGAAACATTTCTTCGCTCAGAGGGCAGTGACTGTATGGAATCCACTCCCCCAGAAGGGCTGTAGATGTCAGTCCTCGAACATCTTCAAGGCTGAGACTGATAGATTTTTTTGAAAAATAGAGGGATTGGGGGATATGGGGAGAGGGCAGGTAATTAGAGTTAGGTCTGAAGATCAGCCATGATCTTATCGAATGGCGGGGCACGGGCTCGAGGGGCTGAATGGCCGAATCCTGCTCCTAATGCTTATATTCTTATGAAATGAGATCTGGGGTTTACAGTGTGTTGTCTGGGACAGGGATGGCGGACGGCCAACTGGATGGACCTTTAGTCTTCTTTCGCCCAGTGAGTTCTTATGTTCTCGTCTTTTGTTCTTTTTGCGGGGGGCGGGGGGGGGGGGGGGGAGGGAGTCAAAGGTTACTCTCCTCATGGTTCCAAAGAGGAACCGTGTCTCAGCGAAAAGAAAAGTGTGTGGGGGGAGTGGCAAAAAAAGTTACTGAAGAAGTTAAACCTTTCGGGGGGGGGGGGGGATGGAGGGAGTAGATAAAAAACATTGCAATCTTTTGAACATAACCCTCTCCCTCTCCACACACACACACACACCCCCCCGCCCCCCCCCCGCCCACCCTCCCCTTCTTTTCTCTCTCTTTAAACCACCTCTTTTGTGATCATTTCGGGAACGGAGTAAAAAGATTTCAGGATTCGTCTCGCAAAAAGTTAATAGGAACGGGAGGAGGCCATTCAGCCCCTCGAGCCTGTTCCACCATTCTATTAGATCACGGCTGATCCGTACCTCAACTCCAATTGCCCGCCTTTGCCCCGTATCCTTCGATACCCCGACCTCACAAACCTCTCTCCACCTCAGGCTGGAAAATTAAGTTAAGTAATGTGACGATGAATCGGGACGTGGGAGAGGCTGTCAATGTGTTCTGAAATCAGCTGAGGTCACAGGGAGGTAAATAACTTGGCCAGAAAAAANTTCTCCCTCGAAACAAATGAACGTCCAAGTCTACATTCCTCCCAAAAATAGTCAACTCCACTTGAGTGTATCCTGTGAAGCGCTTTGAGACGTCTCAACGACACGGTAAGGCCCCTTATCAAATGCAAGTATTATTATTAAACTATCGCTCCCACTGAGAATTGAGCCCCATTCGCTTCCCTTTTCGCCCCAAACGGGAATAGGAGAGGGTTAAACACTGAGCGAGGTTCCAGCTTACCGTGTAGGTGTTCAGCGTAGCCTGGTACACCTGATCTGCCGAGCGAGACATCATGACTCCAACAGAGAGACGGACACACACTACTGAGATAGCGACAGGAGGAGAGAGTAATTCAACCACAGAACCAGAGACAGAGAGACAGACAGACAGAGAGGAAAAACTTTGTGATAACTTCTTTTTTTTAAAAAAAACAAACCCAAATCCCAACTCCGACCCCGACTTAAATGAATCGTGTTTGTGCTGAGAGAGAGAGAGAGAGACGAGGCCGCTTTTGTAACCAGTTCCGCGGCTGAAAAGGCGGATCGTTTTTGTGTGTTAATTATTTATCGGCAGGTTGTAAACCCGATCCAGGGCGACTCTCGCTCCTGTGTTTAACTCCAGCCTCTTCCTCACCAGCTCTCTCTCTCTCTCGCGTCTCTCCCCTCGGCGTGTATAAAACCACAATAAACGTGAAAGCATCGATGATAAAAATAGGTTCTGCGGCTCAGATTATAATAATAATAATCCTTGCATTTGATATCGTGCCTGATCACGCTGACGAGGCGTCTTAAGACGTGTCGAAGCCTTATCGGGGGTGCTGTTTGTCGTACAGGAGAACCAGCCGGGGTGGGTGGGTGGGTGGGAGGTCACCAAAAGGGGTCAGAATAATTATTATTATTATTGATTTGCGTGTGACGAAGGCCGGGGTGTTTGGATGTGGACAGGCGCTGGCCACGGTTCTTCCTTGCGCGCTCGCACAAAAAAAAGCCTGCGCTCGCTCCACTTGTTCCTGAAGCGCTCTGAGGCGCTAACCCGCGTGAGGGCTGTGTAAATTGTTGTGGCGTTTAAGCCTCTCCACTCCCCAGTCCCGTCAGCAGTGCTTCCCAGTTCCGGACGGTCCGAGCCCACATCCCTTGACCTAAAGCGACCCCCTGGTGTCATGTCACGACACACAGAACCCACCTGAGAAAGCCAGGAAGGCAGGGAAGAAATTCCCCCTCTCCCCCGGGTGAGGGGAGGTGGGGAGGGGGTCGGTTTACTCTTAATTGTGCAGCATTTTAGAGAGTTCAAAGTTTGGCAAATCCTTCCACACTTATCTGTCAATCTGCAGTCGGCTTTTCTGGAGTTTCCCCGAAGGACTTTACGAGTGGTTTTGTGTTATAATAATAATCCTTGTATTTGACCCGGTGCCTGATCACGTCATTGAGACGTCCAAAGCGCTTCACAGGGTATACTGTAAAGTGTAGTGGCTGTGTATTTTGTGGGCGAAACCCGGCAGCCAATTGCGCACGGCTGTGTCCCACTTACCCCTGGAAAGCGATCCCGCCAATCGACTACCTACCGGGTTCCTACTTACTGCTGTGTAAACAGAGGCGTGTGGCGTAAGGAAATGTTTCGTTCTGCCCAGGAATCGAACCCGGGTCCTCTCGCTTGCGAGGCTGCGAACGCTCTAACCACTGAGCTACAGGGACTCCGTTACGAACTATTAAGAAAATAGAGACTTCAAGGTCAAATCCAAACCCGACAGACAGACAGACACTCAGCCCGTCTATCAAAGAGCTCTGAATGATGAAAGCACCAGACGTTTGAATGCTGGTCTCACACACAACAGACATTTAATTCCGCACTTTTACAATCATCATTAATTAGCAGCACGCGCGCTCAGAAACCTCACCGGCTCGCTGTCAGTCTTTCGCTCCCGGCGGGAATCCCTCCTCCGTCTCTAACCCCGCATCAGTACAGCAGCAAGGGGGACTCGGAATGGTCAGGAATAGAGAGAGCGAGAGCGAGAGAGCAGAGGCAGAGAGAGAAACCCACGGTCTCTGACCGACTCCTTGCCGCAGGCGAGTGTGTATCAAAAAACAAACAACAAAGGCTCGGAGGCAAAGCAGCAATAATTCAGATTATCCTCATATTCTCTTCGATTCTTCAAAGGGTCACAAAGGGACAAGGCACGAATCTCTCAGGTCGGGAAACACTGGCAGGGAAAATGGGGAAAGAGCGGGGGAGTGGGAGTGATTGAGTAGCTCTTCCAAAGAGCCGGCACAGGCTCGAGGGGCCGAACGGCTTCCTTCTGTGCTGTGACGCTCTATGATTCTGGGTGGCAGCCTGTGTTGGGGCAGAGTCACAGAGGGGGAGGAGGGCCGGTGGATGGATTTCCATTGGGGAGAAGTTCACACTGTTAACGTGGGGAGGGTGTTCGCAGCGTTGATAGAGAGGTGGGTGGGAGAATCTCGGAGCAGCCACACACACACACCACCACCCCCGCCCCCCCCCCCCCCCAATACACACACACACACTGGTCAGTCTGGAATCTGCCCCCGCGACCCCCCCTCACGCACACACACACAACTCCACCACCCGCCCCCAACACACACACACACACTCACTTGTCAGTCTGGAATCTGCCCCCATGATCCCCCCCCCCCCACTCCCCAACACACACACACACACACACACACTCACACACTCCCTCCCCCGCGCCCCCGGGGCCGCGGGCAGTCAGGCAGTCAGCAGGAGCCGGGCGAGTTGTTTGATGCTCTCTCTCTCCTGATGAACGTATATCTGCGTTTCCCACAACATGTTCACCAGAATAGCGTCGTCCACCTCGTCCAGCATCACGTCCGTCTTCAACTGGGAATTCAGCCTGCACAACAACAACAACTTGCACTCACGCGGGGCCCCCCCACCCAGGACAGCGTCCCAGTGCGCGCGACAGTGACGGAGCACGACTCTTGTCGAAGAGGACGGTCTTCAGACGCGAGCTGAAGGCAGGGAAGGAGCAAGACGGAGGGATAGAGGAAGAGTGTCCTCAGGGAGAGTGGCACCGGTGGACCAGAGGGCATGAGGGACATGCATCAGCCCACATGTGGGGCTTGAACCCACAATGTTCTGACTCATGCGGGAGGGGGGTGGTGAGGGGTGGGGGGGAGCTGGGCTGACGCATGTTTCACACGATACAGAGGAGCTGATTGTGTCACTGACCTGAAATAGGAAATGTTCACCATCTCACACCAGGCTCGAGCTCGATCCACCGCCCGGCCGTCAGAGTCTGTGCACTGGACAAACAGTGGGTACAGCTCTCGTTACTGGTTCGGTTAGTGTTACCCAATGAGAGTCGGTGTCTCTGTGTGTGTGTGTGTGCGCGCACGCGCGTGTTTAAGTGCGTGCGCATGTATGTGCGGGTGTGAGTGTGTATGTGTGCGTGTGAGTATGTGCAAGTGTGTATGTGTGTGTGAGTGCGTGTGTGTAAGTGTGCGTGTGAGTGTGCGTATGTGGTGGACGGAGGTGTTAGCGAGAGGGACACTTACACAGTCCACCACCATCTTGCCCAGTTCTCTGGCACCGAAGACAGTTTTCGCCAACTCCCAGGGGTTCGATGGCCGAAACACGTCAACGGAGCTGACGGGGACCTGGGGGGGCTTCCCCGTGCCCAGAGAGACCACCACCCCCAGATTGCTGACCCGGCTCCCCAGCCCCTGCCAACACAACACCAATCACACACAGCGTCACAAGAATAATAACAACAGTCCTTTTGCATTTGATGCACTCCTTATCACGTCGTTGAGACGTCTCGAAGCGCTTCGCAGGCTATACTGTAAAGTGGAGTGACTGTGGGCGAAACTCGCCAGCCAATTGCGCACAGCAGCGTCCCCACAAACAACAACAACAAAATTACCTATATATAGCGCCTTTCACGTCAGGAGGAAACAGTCGTGGGTTGAGTGGCCCAGTTTTTGTTTGATGGGATTATTACCGCAGGAAAGCGATCCCCCAATCGACTAACAACCGGGTTCCTACTGACTGCTGGTAAACAGAGACGCGTGTGTGTGTGTCTTTGTGTGTGTGTGTGTGTGTGCGTCTGTGGGTCCGTGTGTGCGTGGGTGTCTGTGTGTTTGTCTGTG